GCTGCTGAACCATAAAACCTCCACCTGTGTCTTCATGCTTCTGGTATGACACTTCAGGCAGCTGTTCAGGAGTTTCTTCCTACCCTATGTAAGTTTAATTACTAGTAAAGTATTTGAGTGCTTAGTGAGCTCTTGTAATATGTTTAAAACATGGTTACAAATACAGCCAGTTCTAAATATGTTTTAACATCAGCTTCAAGGCAAAGATGAACAACAACATGCACTTGGTATTAAGCCAAAAAATTAATACACTTTGTGTCAGGGTGGCAGGATTGCATGTTGCTTCTCCAGTGTTAACTGCCAGAGTGGCTCAAGCTTGTTTCATTTAACAGAGTTTATCATTACCTGCTGCTCAGTACTTACTACAACAGCTGTTAACCTTTTGTCTGTCATAATACTCTCCAGTGTGTGGTCAGGAAATGACAAGGTTATAAAGTAGAAATCAAGTAGTCTGAAGCAGACTAGAGTGAGCAGTTGTGACTGGTAAGTTCTCAGTTTATTTAATAGTCACATCTATCAAAGTCTCTAATGTCAAGCAGTGAAAGGAACAAAGCTCTACAGTTCCCCTCAAGTAAAGGGAGCAAGTACCTCTTGGTGAAAAATATGTTCTACTACATAACTTGCTGCTTTACAGAAATAATGGATTTCATTTCATGTGCCCTTTCTGCCACAGGTTGATAATAAAGGTCGGAATTTCCTCCATGTAGCTGTTCAGAACTCAGATATTGAGAGTGTGCTGTTCCTGATTAGTGTACAGGCTAATGTAAACTCTCGGGTCCAGGATGCCTCCAAACTAACACCTCTCCACCTGGCTGTACAAGCTGGCTCAGAGATCATTGTGCGTAATCTGGTATGTACTGGAGAGTCATTTTTCCTCTACTTAAAAATGCATGTTCTGCCTTAATGTGTGCTGGCTGTAGGCTGGAGAAGTCAGTTGAAGGTGACACCACTTTTCCTGAAACAGAACTCAGACTTGCATAAAGTTCCCTTTGCTTGTACTGCTAGCTGAACTGCCTCTGTAGCCTTTGTATGAGCCTGTTAGATTTGCAGCAATCACTAGGTAGTGTGGCTCGATTTAAAGGAAGAACCTTACCTTGTGCTTTCTGCAGGTTTGAATACGAACCCAAGTTGCAGCACCTCAGTAACGATAGCATTTTATATATGCCGGAAGCCTAGAAGTATCTCTGTACAGTGGAGTACTGTGTGCTTTATTCACAGAAACAAATTGTTGGCTAATAGCGCTGAAAAAATCTTTGAACATGTTCCTTCTTGCATCTTGACAGCTGCTTGCAGGTGCCCAAGTGAATGAACTGACTAAGCATCGTCAGACTGCTCTTCACTTAGCAGCCCAGCAAGATTTGCCTACAATTTGTTCAGTCCTCCTGGAGAATGGAGTAGACTTTGCAGCTGTAGATGAAAATGGAAATAATGGTAAACTTCTGAAGTTCTACAAGTAGATGCGAACACTTCAGTAGGTCTGTTAATAATAGTGTCTCCTAGTGGTGGAGATAGCCCACTGAATGGGCTCTTTCTTCAAAGATGAAAAAGAATGAAAGTCCAAGAAATCAAAGCTGGTAGAAGGAGTTTTGGAGAGGGAAGGTGGGGGGAATGGGAGTGCTTATTTTTATCAGGCTGTAATTATTGCCGACATTAACTACTTCGTGTTCTGAAGCTTCTCTTTTACTTTTCAGCGCTTCATCTGGCAGTGATGCATGGCCGTCTAAACAATATCCGGGTCCTCCTCACAGAGTGCAATGTAGATGCAGAAGCCTTTAACATTAGGTAATATTAACAGACTAAAAGAACTGCAATGTAGTGTATGTGTTGGTATGACTAGAATAAAAAATCCAAAGATTTGGCTTGGATTATAGTATTTCTACACTAATTTTACACTGAAGGCTGCAGAGCATGCTGTATCTAATTGTGTGGAAGTTATGTATACTAAGAAAAGGAACCTAAAGTATGCAGTGGTGGTTGATGTACTGAGTGAGTTTGGTTCAGACTTAAACAATGCTGCACCTAACTTGAAAACAAGGAGAGTTGGATGAGTAACTGTAGTAGCAAGCAGACTTTGATCAGGATAACAAACTTTTTTCCCCAGAGGCCAGTCACCAATGCATATTTTGGGACAATATGGGAAAGATAATGCAGCAGCCATCTGTGACCTCTTCTTGGAGTGTATGCCAGAATACCCTCTAGACAAACCTGATGCTGAAGGAAACACAGGTAGGTGAGATTTAACAGCTATTAAACTTGAAAGTTACTCAAGTCATATTAATGATATGTTGCTTGTAAAGCTGGAATAATTGGCAGTGGTACATTACAGTAAGATGCAAGTGTTACACTTAGTCCAGAGTAGGATCTTCAGTTCTTTTAAGCTTCAGTGTAACACAGACCTACCACTCTGTTAGCAGGGAAGTGTCTGGCTTTTATTTTTCAGTGCTTCTGTTGGCTTACATGAAGGGAAACGCTAACTTGTGTCGTGCAATAGTGAGAGCTGGGGCTCGTCTTGGAGTTAACAATAATCAAGGAGTCAATATCTTCAACTACCAGGTTGCTACAAAACAGCTTCTCTTTAGACTGCTGGGTAAGTACTACTTGCTACAGGTGGAAAGTGTTTTTAGCTTATGCTTCTGAGATCCTTTGGTGAAGGAAAGAACTCTGGACATCTGACTTAGATGACAGTAATTCCAGAGGGGCTGAACTTGTGATTATTCTACTATTTTAAGTGAGGGGTAGAAATACTAATTTTTCTCATGATCAACTGAAAAGTTGCCCAATGCAGACCTGTCAGACTTTAATATTACTCTTTCTGGAAGGACAGACATGTAGGTTCCTGGCTAGTGGCATAGCCTAATGCAGCTTAAAACTTAGATACTGCTTTTTAACTTGTGCTGTGTAGTCACTGTGGTCTACAAACAAGACCGCAGCTATTCCACAAGTAGTTAAATACTGGATGTAACCTAAAACTTAAAGCCTCCTTAACGTTACAGTGCACTCAGGAAGTGTCTGAGCCTGTTTTTGCCTTTACACTTTTGCTTCTAACAGATATGCTGACAAAAGAACCTCCCTGGTGTGATGGCTCCAACTGCTATGAATGCACTGCCAAATTTGGAGTCACGACAAGAAAGCATCACTGGTAATATGACACATCTTGCTGTGCTTACAAGGAAATAGATTCTGCTTCTAAATGTAGCTAAGGCTTGTTCCTTCTAGTGGTTTAGGAAAGCTCCATGTTAACATAGGTGTATAACCAGTAATCCAGCTGAAACATTCCACCCTGTCCTAGTTGTTAGATCAGTAACTTTTAGTCTGACTAAAATCCTATCTTAAGCACTTTATGCACTTAATATTCTGATTTGTTGGAAATGAGAAATCATGTCAAAGTGCCAGTAGTGAAACAGAGGATTTAGATGCCTGCTTTCAGTAGTGGGGCTGATGTGCTCTGAAAGGGTAACAGATTTGGGCAGGCACTGCCAGCATGGGTTAGGGGTGGTGTTTGTAATGTGGAGATGACTGAAGGTGCTGACAGGGGTCGTTCACGTGGACCTATGCATTGTCTTTTCTTTAACTAGTCTGAACTTGTACAAAATATGCTGGGCTAGATGGAAGTTAAGCTAAGGCTTTTCTCTTGGCACAGGTAAGACTGCCCAGTGTTGCAAAACTTGCACATGCATCCATTGAAGTAGTACTAGGTGACTGACTTTACAGAAGCAGCATGTGGGTTTTTGGCATTAGTATTCAATTATTACTTGAGAGATATGAAAAGATACAAGAAAAATGTAGCATTTCAATTGCTACTGTAGATTTTTAGTGATACTATCATTGATAAAGAATATCAAACAAGTAAAATCCTGGTGTTTGCTGTGAGTGAGATTGGTGTGTTTTTTTTTTTTTTTCTTCCACCCCTCTTCTATCAACAGTCGACACTGTGGACGCCTGCTCTGCCATAAGTGCTCAACAAAGGAGATTCCTATCATAAAATTTGATCTGAACAAGCCAGTTCGAGTTTGCAACATCTGCTTTGATGTCCTGACTCTGGGAGGAGTCTCCTAGTATGCTGTGGAAGTAAAGGGATTCCCAGTCAGTGTTCCTGACAGCAGCTCTGCTTACAAGCCCTCTGGATAGGGAAGAGGAGGCCTATACATGTCTTCTGCAATAGACTGAACTAATTAAGGACCCTGTTATGATATATTCTGGTATAAATGACTTTGTATGACTGTAAATGTATCGGGCTATGATAGACTTCACTAGGAATTCAAGTGGATCGGTGAAACCAAGTGACAAAAGAATTAGACCCTCTTCTAGTTGCAGTGGGGTATGGAAGCTAAAATTGTTAGGCTGATGTTTGAATTGACATAACACAGGTCTGTCCTTGACATGGTGCTTTGCACTGAGCAACTCTATTAAGTCCTGTGGCTTTCAGGCTGCTTAGTAGAGATGGCATTAAGTTTCAGGGTAACCAGGTATCTTTCTTTGCTTTGTCTTAAAGATAAATGTTCCCTTTCTCTAGAGAAGACTTCTCGTGAAGCTAGACTGAGCTGTTGCAACCACCGTTCCATTTCAAGAAACTCTTCAAAAATGGGGGTAGTTCTAAGCATAGCTCAAGAATTGTGGCCTTACAACAGAAAGCTTTACAACATCTGATGCAAAGCAGTCAGAATTGCAGATCCACATCTTGATACCTCCTCAGTAAATGACTCATTAGCTTTAGCGTGTTCAAGAGAAGTGCAGGATTGTTTTAGCTAGTAAATACTCTTAATCATACCTGCTAGAGCCGTCAAAGTCTTTGTTGCACTTTCATATTTACATTGCTAGTCCTTCCAACTCATGAAACGTGTATAAATGAACATAAGTGCGCTGAAAGGCCTAAGCATATGCTAAATGGAGAAACACTAAAACTGGTTAAGTAGTCTAACTTGCAATACAGCAATAAATGCTGAAGTGCATTATGAATCCCATGAGGGAGAGTAGCACTTTCCTTTGGCTTAAAGACCCTGGTTAACTGCTGCAGGAGAGTCAGTGTAGAATGTGCTGCACCTCTAGACAGAAATTTGGGTCCAGTTTCAGCAGGATTGCTGGTGAGTGGGAGTGTATTTGGAGGCTTCCTATTAATATTAAGCTTCTGGCCTTGAAGGAAAGCTTCTGAACTGGCAGTGTGGTGCCAGACATTTGGGATTAAGCTGCAGTATTTTAATCTAGGCTGGTTGTGCTCTCTTAAACATGCTGAATCTGTAAAAATCCAATACCACATTGTCTAGGTAAACAGGAAAAAGCTTTGCTGATAGACAAGGCTATGGTTTGGTTGGCAGAGGCTTCAGTCAGAAAAAAGTGTGTACTTAAGCAAAACTACATGCAATGTTAAGGCTGTCTTCATCCCAAGATATGAACCTAGTTTAGAGTCAACTTGGCATTCCTCATCTCTACTCCATGAACTGGTATGCATTTATTTAATGACTGTTATCTCCAGTGTACAATACGGACAAGATGGTGACATATTGCCCTGTTTGGAATAGTGACTTGTCAGTCTTAGAGTGAGATGAGATGATAAACCAGATTGCTGCTTTAACAGGAGACTTGCTTGAGGTTTTTTCTCAAACTTGTACAGGAAGAGGATGGGAGAGGGTGTAATTGCTGACATTTGCACGATGAATTTCACATCAAGTCTCACTTGATCTGCACTTTGATCTTCCAATATGCATATATTATAACTGGAATCTCACCCTTGTAACACTAGAAGAGAGGAATAATGGATGATAATACAAATTTGCCTCACTGCTTAATGTCTGCTGCTGTCATGTTCCAACAGAATGCCCTGGGTAACACCACTGGTCTCTAACACAGTTACTAATACAAATGGTGCATCTCTGGCATACTATTTTAGGTGAATGAGGTGGAAAATAATGGTGTCTGAATCATTTAACTGCAAGCTACGGGTTGTTTGAGTGAAACAGATGATGGAAAACATTGTACTTCTAGTCCATAGCTTTCTGAGGCTTCAGAATATCACTGGTTGCAAGTCTCTAGCAGTGAAAGATAATGATGGCGAGAGAGTACATTTGGTGAAAGAAGTCTTGACTATAGTGCATCCCATGATAACATGTTGAATTCCTTCTTGGTTTGGAGCTGCAGTGCTGTGGAGTGGTAAGTGTGTGCTCAGAACACTGAAAGATAGTGGTAGAGGAGTGTTCTTCCAAAGCCACAGCTCATGGACTTCAACTGAATTGGAAAACTGCAACGTGTGATTTTTTTTTTTTTTAGTGACTTCTCTGATGGAAGGGGCAAAGGAACAGGGAGCTCAGTTCTAGCAGAACAAGCATCCTTTTAAATGATGAAATATGTAGGTCTTGTGAAAATTCAGCTTAACTGAATGGTAGGATTAAGGCTGGCTAGTTTTTCTCTTTAAAAGTAGAATATTAATTATAACTGCCAGAAACTCTGGGAAATATCTGGGAAACCATATGTAATGCTCCTAGTTTGCTCTTTACAGCCAGTACTGTACCAGCTTTCTCACTGAGGTCTGAAAGGAAAGTTAAGGTTACTGATAAAGTAGTGTACAGCCAGAAGAGTTCATTAAATTTAAAGCAATTAAATTCAGCAAATTTGATCATTTTAAAGTGCCTTTGAGATAGTTTCCTTCCAGCCAACTCTAAATTGCTTTCTGTCAGAGTTAAAAGGGGAAAAGCTCACAACTTGAACCAAAACCCAAGTTAGTTCTCTTCTAGTTCTTCAAGTAAAGAGGTTGACCCCACCAGAAAACTGGTGGGGCTCAGTCCTTTATGCACTCTGCCTACTATTGGTCTGACCTCTCAGATTTTTGGGGAGGAGTTTTGCTGGCAATGCTCCATTGCAGGGTACAAATGTGAATGGAGGCACTTGGTAGTGTAGTAGTGGTCAACACATTTCTAACTCTATACATGACTGCTCTTCCTTTTTTTTTTTTGTAGCGTACTACAGTTGTGACCAAAACCCCCACCCCTCTTACCCCTGCTGTTGTTAAGTGGTATCTATTAACTTGATACACAAGTCTGCCAAGCATTGAACAAATAGGCATACAGAAAACAAACTTCTGTCCCTGGGGAGCGATGCTGTCAAACCAGGCTTCGGGCACTTCAGCAGGGCTGCACGGGAAGCCTGTGGTGGTTTGTACTGTAACACTCTGTTCTTAGACTGGATTCCTTTTGACTGCAGTCATCCAGCTCTCTTACACAAGCACAAAATGTGGTCTGGCTTCAGTTTTAATTTGTATCTGAAAAAGGTGTAGTCACTGTTTCACACCACTGTTGAAGGTACTAACAGAGCTTAGCAAGTTGCTGGCTAAAAGCTGGCTGATGCCTTAATGACTTCCTGTGCTGGAGATCAATGGCTTGTACAACCTCTTGCATACTGCTTATGAATTAACATGTAACAATATGGGAGGCCAAGGCTGGATTTCTTTTGTTTGTAGATCAAATGTTAATAGGCAAGTCCTCTTTTTCCTGTAATCAGCAGAGTTGGGTACTGCAGCAAACTCATCTCTAGAAAAATCAAAGCTTGTATGAGTGACAAAAATAACTCTGAAACTTCTAATACCCTCTGTGAAATAGAAAAGGAAGTCTTAGAACAATGGCATTTTATCTGCAATGTTTGTCTGGAGTCATTGTAAAAATGTATTTTTCCAATATGCATTACTTTGTTGTGTAATAATTCTACTTGTAATAAAATGCATAACTAGATAATGCATCGTGAGGTGGAAACCTTAATAAAAAAAAGTATCTTCTCCTGTAGAGACAGCTGTCCCTCTGCAAGCTATCCTTTACAAGCCACAAGGAAAACTAGGGATGTCACCTTCAGTTAGGCATGACAACTTTATTCTGAAATTATTCCAGGTATTTGTTTTAATGTTGTGGAACTGCTACACCTGTTCTTTTGGCTGACAAGGTCTGGTTGTCAACAACTTACACCATGTAGTCATCTTGAATGCCTTATACTGGACTTATCTGTAGTCATTCTTATGAAACAATCTGACCTTCCTGCAGGCCGGAGCTGGCTCACAGAGTCAATCAGTTCTCGGCTCAGATGCATTTAAACAGACAAGCTGAGCTGCCTCACAGTAACAACTTCTGTGCATTCAGGCACCTCAGCCTCCTGCAAGAGCGTTAACTGCTGCAGCTTTACTTCAGGAACAGGAACGCTGCAGTGATAGCAAAACTGACCAAAACATCTTGGTGAGATTGTGATACATTAGTCTTTTATTAATAAAAAAACTTACTAAAGTACAGATGAATGGTGAGCTTTATTAGAGTGCTATGTTGATTTGACCCCTGTGTAGCTGTCACTGTTCTCTTCCCACCCTCTTCTACCAGCAAAGAATCTAGCTCAGCTTTTGGATTGGAGAAGAAATGAGATAACCATGGAGCGCTTGGAGTCTCCGAGTTGGAGTTGTTTGCTTTAATAGGTGACTTAGTCCTAGTGCAAGACAAACTTCCCCCCACCTCCATGTTTCCAAACACTAAACTGAGGAATAAGCTGTAAATGTGGTTTTCAACTAACTTTAAGTTCAAACACTCTATCTCCTCTTGCCTTCCTGCAGCAGCTTGTTTGATTTTTGTGTGGCTCTTATGATCAAAACCATCCCCTCAGCCTTTCAGCACTATTTGCATAGTGCTCAAGCATACAGCATGATGAAACTTGCTCAGAAGTTACTTGGCTGATGCATCTTCAGTAGAGCTCCAATTTGTGACATTGTAAGGAGACATCAAACTACTTTTTACAGTAATTAATAATGTGGACTTTGCTGCAACTGTTTAAGCTATCTTAAAGACACTTGCCAATCATTTTTTGGGATGGTTGGAGCTCTAAATGCAAGTTCTTGTTAAAGAAGAGGTGTCCAAAAGCAAATGCCATCCTGACACAATGCCCACTAGGTTGTTGAGACAATGCAGCACTGCAGATTTTACTCAGCTTCATCTACAGGCCTGTTCTGTGGGAGTAGCCCTCTCCCATCCTGAAGACAGCACAAGGCACAGGGGGGCTGAGTTTCAGTTCTAAAAATGTGACTGAGCCCTTGACTGCTGTGTGGTGGCGCTGCTGCTCATCTACACCTCCACCTTCCAC